GTCTCCTTCCTGGGACGTGGCACCCGCCCCCTTTGCCCGAGGCAGTAGGTGCCATGGGGACCGGCGCCTGTGGGGGGTCCCAGCGGTCTCAGGAGCCAGGCGGGCGGATTGCTCAGGGAGAGCAGGGAGCGGGGCCGGGGTGGGGCGCGTACTGAGAGCACGGGATTAAGCAAACATTTACAGCAGTAATGCGGAGCTCCAGCCTGCTCATGCACTCAGCACCCAGGACACTGCCGCTCAGGGGCAGAATGAAAGTGTGCTTGGGGAATCTGACTCGCTCCCACCCAGCAAAGACCTAAGGATGCTGATAACAGCTTCACCAATGAAATGGCTCAGCCAATCAAAAAGCTCCAGCCATATGCTCAGAGTTTCCAATCAGCTCTTTAGTGCTTCCATTCAGAAAACCAACATCATTAGACATCTGACAAAAATATCTAACATGAAAGGCAGACATTTTTAAAAAAAGACAGCAACCACAAAAATACTTGAAGGATATGGCTTAGTCAGGGAGAAGAAAAAATCTTACCCTTGCTTCCCGTCTGGCTGCGTCTGTCCCTCCACGGCGCCCCTCAGGCCCCTGCCCTCAGACCCGCTTCACCGAACCGTGTGCTTTGCTTTGTTCTGTGGCTGGTTTTGCTCTGTGTGTGGCTCCCAGTGCACGTGTGCAGGTGTGTGCGTGTGTGTGTGCGTGCATGTGTGTGCACCTCACCTCGTCGCCACTGAGGCACAGGGTGCTCCGCTTGGGACGGGGGAACACGCGTGTGCAGGTTCCGTGGGGACCTGGCCTCTCATTTCTCTCGCGTGAGGCCGGCGGTGGGGTTGCTGGGTGGAGGGTCCCCGAGGCATGGCCTTCCCGGGGCCACCTGCTTCCCTCCCTGAGCTTGCGCTGCACGGGCAGGGGGCTCCGTCTCCGGCTCCCCGACCCCAGGGGCCGGCAGGGAAGGGGGCCTGGGCCTCCACCTCCAGAACCGCTCACGCGCCGTGGACCCGCGGGCACTCTGTAAATGTGCCCCCCCAACCCCGTCTCCTCGCAGCCACCCAGCTGGACCCGAGGGACCTGCAGGGGCTGTTCCAGGAGGCGGCGGCCAGTGTCTCCCGCATCAGCGCCAGCGGTGAGTGCGCGCCCGGCCCACCCGGGCCCCAGTGTGCCA